TAAACCTAATTTGAACAAACAAATTTATTCCAATTTTATTTTACCTTCATCACGAAATGTTTAATTTATTATTATTATTATTAACATAATATTGCACATATAATATATTTTATTATGTTATATTACAAAATAATTGTTTATTATACTTAATTTAACTACTTACGTTATTTAACTTTAATCGTTACGTTACTTTCGCGCTCAACTCTTATTACGTCATCTGACAGTTTATTGTTATGTTTTATTTGAATTAATATTAAATTGCCTGAAGATGAATTATAAAATTCGAAACGTCGCTTAATAAATAATTATATAATGAATATTGGTGTTCTAATTTTTAATTTAAATTATAATTATAAAAAACTAATAAGAAAAATAGAAAATCTTAATAAAAAATTAAATAACAATAATATAAGCATCGCGTTTAATGAAATATGCTTAAATGAAAATTTGTTACCGAAATTTACTGATATATATATATATATATATATATATATATACAAAATATATATATATATATATATATTGTATATATTTTGGCATAACGCATTCATTTTTATAACCCTGGAACTTTTGGAAAATTAAATTTTTACTCTTTTGCATTGATTGCATTATATAGTTTTCAATACTAAATTTTGAATACTGCTTTGTTTTTGGGTTTCAAAGAAAGATAAATGCACTGCAAAGATTTGGAAATTAAAATTTAATAACAAATCAATTTCATACTAATTTATAAAAATGTAAATAAACTTCTTAATTTGTTGGCAATGATCGTTCTGAGGTTCGCCTGTACAATCTTGTAACCATCAATTAATCCAAGACGAATCGTCTCATTGAAATGTGGCGGGCATCGGACTGTTTTTGAAAATTTATTTTGAAATATATAAATGATGAAACCTTAAGTTTTTGTATGAATTTTATAGTTTGCTATAATTTAATTTAAAAAATCATGAGCCGGTGTTTAGGTTCTGGGGCGTTTAGGTTCAATTAATTTATCTGATAACTACTTAAGACATAATTTAGATTGTGAATGTGCGAATTTAAAAAATTATTCTATATTTATAAGTAGCCAGTGCAAGAGAACAAGATGTGGAGATATATGAGAAAAGAAAGAGGCACGATGAACTAGACGAGCAGCAGAGTTAAAAGCTTTACTTAAAGGATAGAGTGTAGAATCAGGAAGACCATAGTAGAGCGAGTTACAATAATCAATCCTAGATAAGACTAACGAAGTAACAAGAAGGAGAAGAGTAGAATCTACAAGAAAAGGCAAAAGTTTTTATTCTACGTAGATGAAAATAAGAACTTATAGCAACACTATTAGTCTGAGAAGAAAGAAACATACTACAATCAAAGATAAAGCCTAGACTACGAAAAATTGTGAGAAACATCAAGAGTCTTAAAATCAGGTGAGTAACAGAATAGTAACAGAATGTTTAGATTTATTTAAACAATTTAAATGAAATTTAGAAGGATTAAGTTTAAGACACTTAGAGTCAGTCCAAGCGATAATTGAAGAAAGGCATAGAGATAGATTATGATATCGTAAAAATCTACCGTTCAGCCTATATATAGGTCCTGCGTGGACACAGAAAGTAGTCAGGTTTCTAGTGAGGTACGATACGTAGTTGTAATTGTGGTTTGTGTACTTTCTTAGATGGGTTTAGTGCTTCTATTACTGTTGGTATCAAATAAACATTCGAATATCTTGAACCATCGGAATAACGAACACTTGACGATCGTTGGAAGCTACAAAACTGGTGTTGGAAATATTGAGACCTTGTAATTTATAACATCTGTGTTGGTAGTAACAAGAGTTCAAAGGTTACAACAATATATATATACGTATATATAAAAAATTTGCAGATTGATTAAGTGAAAAGGAAGAAAGAGGGAGATATTTAGAGAGATGGATAGAGATAGAGAAAGTGCAACGTTTTGTATTTGAGAGTATAATTAACGTTAAAAAACAAATTAGTTTGATGTGGTAAAGAAATAATTGAATTATTATTTTCATACCTTCAAGACGTTAAACTCGAACTGCGGCTGAGTATTGGTATATTTATTGAATAAACATGTATAAATAAACGAGTACTTGTATTATATTATATATATACATATATATATATATATATATATATATATATATTCCTTATGAAAGTTATATATAAGAATATTTTTAATTAGGATTGAGACTGTCCTACATATAATTAAAAAGAAATATAAATGCGTATTTTTTGAAAATTAAGAATGAAGCTGAAGAGCATACTGTGCATTACTTTGGTAGTCCTGCTTGCTGAATTCGTCCAGGTGGAAGCGATACTGCCGATGTTGCGTGAGTTCTAATTTTTACATCGTTCACGTGATGCTCTTCAGTTTTAATGGATCCTAAGATTGTTTTTTTTTATTTCATCAACTTTTGAATAAGGAAATTAGTTATAATAACCTATTTTATAGCAATAGCACGTTGCTTCAGAGGTGTCCAGTGACTTCTTAATATTTCATTGATAATTTTTAAAAGTTTTTGTTAATTCGTTACACTGAACAATATTTGGGAATAATCCATTTATGTTCATTTAGGTTTGGGTAGATCAGCTAAAGCGAGTCTCGATAAATCTGAGAAAATGATGAAAAGAAGTTTTGAATCCGAAGTTGCTGGAGAATTTCCAAATGCAAAAAAAATAATGAAAACATCAAATGTTGAAATAAATTAGGAAAATAAATTCGGAGATGAAATTTTACTAAAAA